ACAACAAATGATCAAGATCGACTTAAGACCAGCATACTACCGGGAAAGTTTTTACACAAACAGAATCGTCAACCACCGCTTGTAAATGCAATGTATTATGCCGAGCAGAGAATGAAAGGAATCATGGAAGCACCACAGCTTACCGCCGTGGAAAAAAGCAAGTTATATTCCGATCAACCAAATCGGTTTCTCATATTCAAAAAAAAGATGGATGTCCTAGCCAGCGTGGCTGGCTCTATTGAAGGAGAGCCTGCCCGAAAGCCCTAGTCAAATTGATGACTCTCGGCAGCCAGCCGCCGAGAATTGTGATTGGCTGAATTTACGTTGACGACAGTTTGATTGACATGTTACGCTAATTTATTCAAATATTTAAGAATAAATACAGTAAAACTAACACAACTAACACAACTAACAGCAGAATCCATTCCCACAGTACAAGATCGTGTAAAAACCTCCATCTCCCAAAAGTCAACACCAACTGGGGCAAACATAAACCAACCTACCTCGCTTCGAAAGACTTTAACAACTTGGACGTTTCCGTCAGAAACATTGATTCTTTGAGTCAATTTAAGTCTTTACTAAGGTCACATACCATACCATATAACTATTCTTAGCTGTACTTACTAGATATAGTTAATTATTCGTTTCTTTATGTCGTGACGTTGTATATTAATTGTATATATTTATATAAGTAAATTTTTGTTAATGATTGTATCATGCAGGACCCCACTGAAAAACACATTAGTGATGTGGGTATCCTGGATAAATATAATTATAAATAAAAAAAAACAAACAAACGGCATCGCTATATCATTCTATGGCTATATTAAAGTTGTAAACCTGTCGGCTAAAATATAAAATTCAAAAGACAAAGTGTAAAATATATAACATATACCAGTATCTAAACAGAATACGGCAAGCCATACTGCTATTACTGCATATGTCGTATGATTTTACCGTATGGTCACTATAGTATATAGAGATACTAGAAGTTACTAACGCAAGGAAATGCTGCCTCACGGCCAAAACTTTGAGTTAGGTTGTTCAAAATCTGTTTATAATCCGTGGATAATACAAAGCTAAATAACACTATAATGGAAACATAACACTACAATTATATTTTTTAAACAATAAAAATCGTATTTTATTGTATTGTAAGAATCGCGTGCATATATGTTACAACAATATTCTAATTATCTAAAATTAAGAAAACAGTTCTCTGTAATGAAACAGGTCATTTTCTGAGCACTCCAAACGATAGTATCTCATAAAAATGAACAAATTATGGGTCATTCCACGGCTTATTTCTCCGACAATACAGGGTGTATAAAAAAAAACGCAACCTCGGAATTTCCTAAGAAATCACTTTGCAATCTTAAGCATAAAAGATTTTAGGCCCCTGGGAATTGAAATCGAATTGCTAATAGATCATATTACTGTTGTTGTGCATTAAATAAATGCATAAATTTTGCTTTATGCACTCGCGTGTGCAGTAATTTTGACAGTTGTGCTATTTTAAATTCCCAGGCGCCTAAAATACTTTGTCTTTAAAACAATGTCGATTTCTTGGGAAATTCCGAGGTTGCGTTTTTTTTTATACACCCTGTATATCTATAATGTGACCCGCAGGGCTACCTCCACACATTTAGCTATGCGATTGTCACTAAGGTTAATGTCACTAATATTCTTAGACACAAAGTCAAGCGTAGTCACCTCTAGAGTAATAACCTGGAATGACTAACAGTTAATAACACTATTAATAATGGATAAATATAATGCACAAAACCCAAGGACTGTTTATACTATTAACAATGGAAATATAACATTATTATGTATACCATAACATTACTATTATACGTCTATACCATAACACTATTAATAATGGAAGCGCATAACACTATTATATATCCTGTCTGTCTGTATAATGTTTTTTTTACAAAAAACTGTTAAAAGCTACATATCTTGTAAGCAGGTGAACTTATTAATGATCTTATGACACTATACAAGGCTATACAACACTATCCAATGTTATAAAATACTATACAACACTACTGTATATAAGGCTATACAAGACTATACGACACTATACAGCGTTATAGAAGACTATACGACACTATACAAGAGTATACAACACTTACGACACTACACAATAATATACAAGGCTATACGACAGTATACAACACTATATAACGTTATACAAGACTATATAACAACATATAAAGGCTATACGACACAATATGACACTATACAACAATATATAAGGTTATACGACACTATACAACGTTATACAAGACTATCAAAATTACGACACTATACAAGATTGTACATGACAGACTATACAACACTACACAACACTACACAACGTTATGCAACACTATACAACACTATATAAGGATATACGATACTACACAATGTTAATTATACAAGACTATACGACATTGTGTAAGACTATACAACACTATACGACACTACACAATAATACACAAGGCTATACAACACTATACAACGTTATACAAAACTATACAACATTATATATAAGGCTATGCGACACTATACAACGTTATACAAGACTATATAACAATATATAAAGCTATACAACACTATACAATGTTATACAAGACTATACAACACTATATAAGGCTATATGACACTAAACGACACTATGCAACATTATACAAGTCAACAGTATACAAGACTAGATACGGCACCATACGACACCATACAACGTGATACAAGACGATACAACAATACATAAGGATATACGACACTTTACGACACTATACAACGTTATACAAGATTATATGACACTATGCAGGACTATACAACGCTATACTACACTATAGACGACTATTTAACAAGACTATAGAGACTAAACAACACTATACAACGTTATACAAGACTATACGACACTATATGTCATTTCGATGTTTTCGTTCCTGGTTGAATTAATATTTATATACCCTATACAGATTACAGTTGATTCATTCGCTTCAATGGGTAAAATAATTCGACAAAAATACGTTGTTACTTGTATTCAAACTTTCATCTTACCTTCAATATTTTCGATAAACAGCCAGACGTAAAATAATATTTCGATAAACAGCCAGACATAAAATTTGCAGCAAGCTGGAATCAAAATTTACAACAGCACGAGGTGATGTTATTTACAAATCGTAATAGTCCATGGTGGTGTTCGTGAGTCTCAACCCGGGTACTCGGAAAGTCAAATCGCGATCTGGAGTATGTTATTTTTTAAAATTTCTGTGACGTCAAAATACGTCATAAATCTGATCATCCGTACATTCGTACATGCAAATAAAATCGAGTTGTCGCTCGGCTATACATAACTCGGCCAACCGGAAACGGACTGGTGCGAGAAAAACACATCGTCAAGAATAGGTGGCTGCCTACGGCAGCAAAAACCTTGGCTGTCCTTGCCTTGTTTATATTTTGCTGGCTGTCAAATTACGATTATATAAAACAATACATTCCCCATTGTGTTTAATACACCATAATAATACGAAGCTCTCTTTGGAGCTTTTAAAATACATTTGCCTGCCAACGTGTATAACACGGGAAGGGGTCTTTTTAAACTTTTCCTAAGTCATTATATTTAATACTGCAATATTTATAACTGTAGTACAGCCATACAGGTGCAAAGCATAATATAATTTTGAACGGTCTTCGTCTACTACTAATTTCCAGACAAAGTCGAAGGGCCTTCGCTCGAAATGCCGACGTTTTGCTTGTATTTCCAGGCAGTTGAATCGCTATCCATCTATTGTAAAAAGTTTATTGAAAGCATGTAGCGCAGGCTATAGTAAATATGCAACAATTAAAATTTTAAGTCATCAATTTATACAAAACTATTTTGAGTGGGCGGTGTTAATATGGAATATTAACTAAGTGGGCGGCATCAATTTGACTAGGGCTTTCTGGCAGGCTCTACTTATAAAAGAGCCGGCCACGCTGGCTATGGATGTCCCGGCTCACTATCACGAAGCCCCTGTTCAAACAACACCAAAAGTGCCCAATGAATTTTCTGAGATACCACCACAAGTGTCTTCTACTCCTGTCTCTGCTAAGATAACACCACAACTCTCTGCTACTCCTAAACCTAATTTTGTTCCACCGCCATCAACAGAAGAGGAACGACCAAAACTCAAGCGCAACTTTTTCCACAATTGGGTAGACCCAGCAGATTGGACCGAACGTGACTTAGCACGAATGACTCCGGAAGCAAGAGAGGATTATGAACGTTTTATATTGAGCGACATACCAAAATATATTCCAATAAAGCCGGAGAAACTTGCAAAGTTATCCCCAGAAGACAGACAAGAATATTTTGCCTGCAAAGCACCCTCTTAGAAGCAGACCATGCTAAATTTTGTAAAACGTTTTGAAGAAATAAATGCGTTTTAAATATAAATTCTTCTGGAAATTTTTGCCTGCAAAGCCACGCGCCTGATTTTAATGTCTACGCCCTCGTAATAAATCTATCTGCTATACGCGAGATATCTCTTCCGAGCGAATATACGGGTATGTAACTAGCTGGATCAACCATCAAACATGCTTGTGCAGGGAATTTATACAGTAATATCTGCTCTTTTGCTTGTGGGACGTGAAATGATATACTGCGCATGCTTAACCACATTTTAAAGCGTGTTAATGCGCATGTTACACCTAGTTATTTCGTCCCACAACTGCAGGGACCTCTCATTGAATTAATATAGCTTGGATTTTTAATGAAGAAAACCTCCAAAATTCAAAAGAATATGGTCTGATGAGTATATAAACAAGTTAAAAGCCGCGAGTATCGGTTTTTATTAAACTGTAAAGACCTTGGGCCCGAGGCCCTCGGTCTTCACAGTTTAATAAAAACCTCTCCCTTGGCTTTTAACCTACATATAAAGTAAGGTACCTAAAGTTATCTACATGAATAAAGATTTGCTACTAACAAATTTTGAAAAAAGATAAGTTTTAACCGACTTCTTAAAAGCTTAAACACTAGATGACTTGCGAATATTTAATTGTAAAATATTCAAAAGTCTAGGTGCACAAACTGAAAAAGCTTTATTATCATCATATGTCTTCGTAATTGTCCTCGGTTGACTTAAGAGTTCATTCGATACAGATCGTAGTGATCTTGAGGATTCACGAAACTGTAATAGATCAGTCAGATACCTCGGACTCATGCCATTAATTGTTTTATAAACTAGTAATAAAAGTTTAAAAACTGCAGCTATGCGGTAATGTACTGGCAACCAATGCAGATCCACAAAAACTGGAGTGATATGTTCATATTTACCGGCAATCCGACAAACAATTCTAGCGGCTGTATTTTGGACATACTGTAACCTTTTCATTTGGTACTTCGGTAAGCCAAACAGAAGAGAGTTGCAGTAGTCTAGCTTCGATGTAACAAAAGCGTGTACAACAATTGCAGCAGTCTCTTTCGTCAGATATTTGCGAATCCTTGATAAGTTCCTCAGATAGTAAAAGAAAGATTTACATTTATCAGCAACATAGCTATCAAACATGATGTGCTCATAGAAAAAAACACCCAAACTTTTAACAAATGTAGCAGTGAGAGGCACTTTCTCAAGTTCAATGTTAAAATCATCAATAAGTGGTTTGTTACGATAGCTTGAATGTATCAACATAATTTCAGTTTTATCATGATTGAGTTTAAGCTCATTACTATTCATCCAATGACCAATTTCAGCTACACAGTCCTCGACGCGTTGTTTCGATGTAGTAACGTCTGTGGTTTTAAAGGAGATATAGATTTGTGCATCGTCTGCAAACAAATGATACTTAAGGTCATATCTGTTGATAATTTCTGCCAGAGGTGAAGTGTAGATAAGATACAATAACGGGCCTAAGACTAAACCCTGAGGAACTCCAATGTTAACGTCATGAGTTGCAGATCTCATATCATTAATATTCACAAACAGGCTCCTATTAGATAGGTAAGATTCAAACCAATTTAGCACAATTCCACTAATGCCAAACCGTTTCTCCATCCGTGACAACAGCAAAGAGTGACTGACAGTATCAAACGCTGCTGATAGATCCAACAATAGAAGAAAAACATGCTCACCTCTATCCAAAGATAATAAAATGTCATTGGTAATCTTTACTAACGCCGTCTCTGTACTATGGTAAGCTTTATATGCAGACTGATAATGCTCATGAAGATCATTTTCAATAAGGTACGTAATTATTCAACTGCCCCGAAACACTTTTTTCGATGAGTTTAGATAAAAATTTCAAGTTTGAAACCGGTCGAAAAATCAATGTTGGACTTTTTTAACAGGGGTGATAGGATCGCAATCTTCAGATCTTCAGGCATTGTACCCAGTGACAAGGACAAGTTTATGATTCTTCTAAATAGTGGGACTAAGGTCATGTAACATTTCTTCATGATAATCGCTGCAACAGGATCAAGACTGCAAGATTTAATGGTCGTCTCACCAATCAAGTTCACGACATCTTCTTCAGTTAGCATATCGAAGGAGCTAAAATTCGAAGTACAAGTAACTTCGTCAATTTCACCTGGGGAATTTCCAGCCATGTTCTTTCTGGCTAATACGTCCTGTCGAACACCATCAATCTTAGTGACAAAATAATCAGCAAATGCATCAGCCAGCACGCGATCACTATTTGCCAAAGGATAACGTCTATCCGAGCTTTTTTGTAACAACTTCTCCACTGTTTGAAAAAGTACTTTCTGATCGTGTGCGTTATCACGTATGATGGTTGAGTAGTATTCGTCTCTCGCCTTATGTAGCATTTTGTTAACAACATCATACTGAGCCAGATAGTTTGCTATATTGCAATCGAGTCGATTTGAGCGCCACTTACGTTCAGGCCTTCGTCGTTTCTTTTTCGCATATGCAACATCATCATTATACCATAATGCAGTTGGATGAACAATGATTGCTCGAGTTTTTACTGGTGCAAGTTCATCCACAATATCACACAGAATGGTATCATAGTTATTTACCAGCGCCGAAAGACTTGTGTCATCATCCATATTCAACAATCCAGATGAAGTATTTCTAATATTAAATGATTCACAGTCAAAGTTCTTAAGTCGCCTACTCATAACAGTTTTCCGCTGATTGGATTGTTTCTCAAGATTGAGATTAAACCATATCGGCTTATGATCAGATACAGGCTACTCCAGAACACAAATATTGCTCACTTCCAAAGCCACGCAATTGTCTCTTGTAATCACAAGATCCAAAATGTGACCTCCTCTGTGCGTACAGTAGGTGACACTACGTGTTGTTTCAAACCAAACGAGTCCAAGAGACTAATAAAACGAACAGCTTGAGTGTATTTGGGTTTCCTCAAAAACAGCCATGCATTCATACAAATAACTATAAGAATACAATGAAAGTATGTATTTGCTTATTTTTGTCGGTATTTTTCAGCTTGTTGTCGGTAATTGTCTGCTTGTCGTCGGTAATTGTCGGTTGTTGACGGTTGTTGTCGATAATTAGTACGACCGGTCGTATTATATGACAATCGCAGACAACAATCATTACATTATAATTCTCGCATTATTATAATAACTCACCTTATTCCTTTCGACGTACGTTTATTACATCTTTGAAGTTACAGGCGAACTAGTATAAACCACTTCGTCTATTTCTCTATCAAAGCGGAATTCTTAGTATTGACACTGTGAACCACACGTTTTGAATTGCATAATTTGGCGGCCAGACCGTTGGCGTTGTCATTCAAATACAAACTGCAACCATGCTCGCTTCTTCCTCACTCTGTTTTAAAGCCATCTTTATGGTTGAAATATGAAAATACTAAAGCCATTTTAATCAGTTTGTATCGCTTCCATCGCACTAACACTTGAAAGGAACCCCTCGCACCACAATTGCACATATATTCCCATACAAACGCGACCACAAACTAATGCCTCTATCGATTGCAAGAAGAAGGTATTAGATTTTACGGCGGCACTATCCTTATTGGTTGAAAACTTGAAAGCTCGATCATGCGGTGCGCGAATATTCAAATATTTCGGCTTCATTGTGTGTTTATACTGCTATTGCATAGCGTGATATAATACTGGTATGAAATGCCATATTTTGAGGTCCAATTTTGATTGCCCGTGCTGCTCGCATACTTTTAACTTTCCAGTTTCCAGGTTTCGAGTCTGTATGATGTATTATTTAATAAACGAGCAGGAGTGTTTTATTAGGTTTAAAGCCACGAGCGCGCAGCGCGAGTGGCTTTAGACCTAATAAAACACGACCTGCTCGTTTATTAAACGGCTTCAAACACGACTACAAACTCAATAGATATACTGCCTTATTAGTATTCTTTATATAAAACAACTACAATAGATACTGCCTTAATAGTATTCTGTAGATAAAGAATACTGAATTAGAAGTGCTTTATCAGGTTTAAAGCCACTGCACGTGACATATTATGGTTGACATGATTTGCCAATAAGCTTATGAATTATTAATGAGTGTTTGAAGAAATGCATAATAACACACATGACACATGGGAACTTTTTCTGTTATTATGTCCATTTATCACTTGTGAATATATTCAAATGTTTCATTTGTGAAATAGTTAATCTGCCAGTAAATTAATATGCGGCTGTTTCAGGATACCGGTAAATAAAATTCGGACAAATATTTGCCAATTAATTTGGCGATACCTGTAATCGGGCGGCCCTAACCTGTGATCGGGCTTGTACGATGCTACTATAAAGCGTGTTTTATTTATAGACCGTGTTCTCTGTAAAAATGTGTTAGTTTTAAGAAGTGTGTTTTGGAAAGATGTGTTTGTTGGTCAAGTGTTTTTCTTCTGTGCAGCGTGTTTTTCAATTAAAGTGTGTTTATGTTCAAACTTGGGTTAATAAACACACTTTTCACAGGAAGCGTGTGCTAACTAACACAGTAGAAAAGGTGTGTTTTTCTGAAAGTGTGTTATTTAACACATTTAATTACCTCCATCGCCGTGTATTAAGCACTGGACACTGTGTGTTATATAACGCACACTGGTGTGTTATTTAACTCACAAAGCTAGGTATGTTATGCCGAAATTGTAAGAGTAAAATGTGTTGTATAACACACCTAACGTGATATATAACACATTTTTGTGTGTTTTGCAAAACACCTATTCTTAAGAGTGCAAGCAAATCTAGTCGCACATGCGCAAAATATCAATCTTTTTACGTACTGGCTAGACACGTTACAAACACGTTACACAACACGTTACATAATAATCTGTAGTAAAACATATAGAGATATGACACGTTACACACGTTACACAACACGTTACATAATAATCTGTAGTAAAACATATAGAGATATGACACAACTACTAACGATCAAAGAGTTTTTAAAACGGTCTGTAGAAAACTTCGGAGTAATAACGTTTTCTCCTTATGTTATTATTTAAATTTGTTTAATTAAACACGGTAACCCATATCAGTTTCCTGGTTTTCATAGGGCCGTGCATCTATTTACAAAAGTATACTATCTGCAGACTAAAAACTAATTAATATCGTAATAACAAAATCGCATGCAATAATTGTTTTAAATCATATATATATATATATATATATATATATATATATATATATATATATATATATATATATATATATATATATATATATATATATATATATATATATATATATATATAAAAGCTCACTTCCCTTGTGGTCGTTTGAGCACTCTGGCCCCATTACGCTCTGCGCATGTCTGGATGCGTTGAGCGCCGTGTTGTACCACATGCCTTGGTGAGAGCAAGTTCATGGGGTATAAATACGAGTGTCTCACGTATCTAGACGTGTACCAAGCTGCACTGACGAGGCGTTGAACGCCGAAACATGCATGTCTGCAGATTGTACTGTGTACTATATATATATATATATATATATATATATATATATATAATAAATCGTTACTCACAGTGCTCTCTCGTGTTGTTATTGAATGCCGTCTCTTCACACTCGAGCGCGGTTTTATAGCAAACGTTTATTATGAGCTTTTCAGTCATCATTTCTACATATGTAATGTTTTTAAGATACGCCATTAGATTTGTCCTTTCTTGTAAATGTTTATATGCTTCGCACCGATTTAATTACTTGTTACTATACGTCTACGCGTCTTGTTTATAAGATTGAAAGAAACAGTATTGTATTGTCTGGGACTAGAGCCCAATATTTAGCAAATGTTAACATTTGATACTATAGCCAAACAGAGAAAGTCTGCCAGTGATTATAAAATTTTGGATTTAGTGCATAGTATTCGGTAATTATAGTCAGGCTTTAGCCTTTTTCTTGGTCTTTATTAATCATTATTTTCCCAATATATACTAAATCTACTATATATCACAAATTTACAGTGTCAGACGCGCACAGACTGTACATAAATTTTCGAGTTTTCTACTTCTACTAACATTTTTAAAGTTTTCATTGTGAATCATCTGTTTATTTCTAGTTCATTAGTCATTAATATGCTCTAAAAAACAAGGCTCTCAAAAATATGTGTATATTTATTTCATAGTGTCGTAGTGATATATGCATTTACAAGCAATCCTGGATATGATAAAGACGATACAAGCTGTCCATTAAAAAATAACGGTATTCTATTCCACAAAGCAAAACATTTAAATCTCACTTGTATTATTAAGAATATATATAAAGCAAAAAATTTAAACTTGTGTGAGTTGTGTCAAAACGAAAGCTGTTTATAAAATTTATAAATGTTGTAAACACTACTATTATAAACATAAAGATTAAAGTGCCCATTGTCATTGAAAGACATAATATAATATAGTATACTGTCGTTTGACTTATCTTTGATGTATGATTTTAATACTGTAGATTTTCAACAGACAGCTAGACTTTAACATATACCATGATTGTTGAGTTTCAGCAATGCCAAGGGCCAATGCAGGAAGTTTTATAAGCTTTTATAGTCAACAATCTGGATACAGTTGGCGTCTTGGCTTGGCGATATTTCGGAAATCAAAAGATTTCGTTGCAATTCCATGCCACATCTCATCAATAAATAAATTCTTTTGGTTCGAGTATCTAGATATACTTTACTAACAGTTAAATAAATGAATAACCACGACATTGTTCGGTCTAGATAGTATATTTTCTTGTACTGCTTTATATGCATGCCACGCCGTCCACGCGTGCTTTTTCAGTGACAAGTCTATAAGTTGAAATCTGATCCAACTTGCTTGAATTGTAACTCGACACTAGATTATAGAGTAGTAAGTCACATCACGATAAATATTAATTTTTAATTGCAGTTCTTTTCACGATTTCTTTGAAGATTCAAAGGATATTGTTTATATAATTTTAATAGAGCGATCTAATTAATTGTGACAATATATACTCACTCCCCCGACCCTAGTAAAAAATACGCCATTTTACGCAAAATCCGCGGGTCACGTGACCAGACCATACCAGGGTATTTCGCTCCCCAAGAGCAAATACCCTGGGTACGAGGTTGATATTTTAATAGATCGAATTTAGCCTATACAGCTGACATTGCTTGTCTATTTTCCCAAAGATTTTTATCTAGTAAGTAAATGCATGGCAAAAATAATTTAAATTCGTTAGAAAAACTTCTGTATTATTGCCCAGTCCCCCGCACAGCCTCCTGGCGGAATTTCTATATTTTGGGGGATAAAAAACTTTCGGTTAATTGATTGAAATATGTCAATTTCCCTAAAGCAACCCCCAGACGGCTCGATCTCAGACAATCTAGTGCAAACTTGAATTATAACAAGACGCCTGCTCAGGCGTTCGCACTGGCCTTCGCGGTTGGTAAAATACCATCGCAATACTCTAAAAAATAATTTGAAAAATGTAGATGTTCCTCACTTCTTGACGGCCGTCACTTCATGATCACAAACATTCAGAGTACGGCACAATAAAAATCCGTACAAAACCAATAGAGTTCAGCGATATCTTATCGAAAAACACAGAAAGATGTGTAACGTAGTTAAATACGGAACTCGTTCTGGTTAACATTGTGTGGAACTGGTCCTAACTCCAATCCTAATCCATGTCGTAATCACCTGAACATGTTTATGATGTTTTAGCTAAATTGCGAAATCCTGAGCCCTCGGTGCCACAATGGAAAGTCACACTTGCGACAACCAAAAAAAAAAAACAGCGAAAAACGAAAAGACCAAGGCCATTCTATGACACTGGCTGCGGCCAGTGTAATAAGACTTCTGATATTTCGTTCTATTTCTGGGATTATCCCCCCTCCCTCCCCCTTATTCAATGTTATCTTAAACTACGAATTTTAAAAATCTGATCTCCTAAAATTTCTCGAAATATGAAAAGAAAACGCTTAAAAGGCATGAGCTGTAAGATCTACGAAAGTATATAGTAAAAGTGAAAGGGTTTTGCTTTTTGTGGCTAGCCGGTCAGCGGATAGTCACCATGTTATGCTAAGCAAGGATGCAATGATCTCCACTTCGGTAATTGCCTGCATGTCGAACATTCAACGTTTCCTTGTTTTTCGAGTTCGACGTGATATTGGAAAACAAACGGATAACCGGGGTTAGGTATCTAGACATCTACCACGAAAGAATAATTTTACATATAAGTTAAGCAGGATTCCATGAAATACAACCAGTTTTTGAAAGTCCAGCCTGTAACTCACAGCCGTTTACATTCTTACTAAAGTTTAAAATTCATTCTTACTTCAGTTTAAAAAATTCACTAACAAAACTCAGGATTTGGAGGTCTCGCGACATTGAAAAAGATTGAGATTTTTTTAATAATAATTTTATTTGATTTACAACAAAAAATTACAAATACCAAAAATCATATATATATATATATATATATATATATATATATATATATATATATATATATATATATATATATATATATATATATATATATATATATATATATACAAAAATAATTGTGGTGAGGAAGCCCAAATTGAAACCATCAGACTTGTATACTTTGGGCTACCTCATTGATTTCAGCTACATTAAGTTAAATAAATCATGTGCATGATACTAGGGCAAAGCAGATATTCGAACAGGAATGATATGAGCCAAATTACTAAATATTGAAACTATATGTAACGAGAAAAAAGAAACGATCTTAACTTAGATTGAAAACTAAAAATAAATGATGAATTACGTATATCGGGATTCAACGTATTGAAAAATTGTAGTCCTTGATAATCAACAGAAAATAGGGAGTATTTGTCCTGCATAAGGGACGCTAAGCGTTCTGCATGGGTTTACGGGTATTATAATTGTGAATTTGATTTACAGTTAAAAGTGGACATTCAAAACAATCAAAAAGCAATTTATGTTTGTATTGATAAATAAACTTTCCAAGGTTAAATAAATAGATATCTTCAAATTAGTGATATATATTTAGTGATATATTGAATAGAAATTCATTTTCAAAATCTAATAGTAACACTCAGTGTATTTTTCTTGTAAAATGTTTCGTGCAGGTCTCAGTGTGCTGGTCTCTGTGTGCTGCTCATCACTAAACAAAGTTAGAAAGTTATATATACAAACGGCACAGACATTAGAAATATTGTGAATTGGATTGCACGGTTGCATGCCATGCCAGTGTCAAAACTATTTCCTGCATGATGACCATGCAGCTTATAGAGTTCAGGCTTCAGTTTTATCGTTCTCATTCATGTCATCTTTACTTTTCAGTAATACAACACCAGGTCCTTCTTCATCTTTATTCATATCATCCATGGTCTCCAAGGTTGGTGTACCCTTGGTCTCTGGTAAGAACAATCCAAGTACAGCTGCTTGAAGACATATTGCTCCCATTATGCTGTATGGAAGTGCTGCATGAAAACGAATCTGGAAAATTTTAAAATTAAGCATTAAGCCGCCATAATAACTAATAACATAATAACATAATAACTCACTGACACACAGTCAAAGGCATAACCATCCAAGTTGAATGGTTATGCCGAAGCCAGTCAACTGTCTTCGGCATAACCATCAGATAGTCAACTGTCTTCCAAGTTGAATGGTTATACCGAAGACATTCAACGGTATAACCATCCAAGTTGAATGGTTATGCAGAAGACAGTCAAAGGCATAACCATCCAAGTTGAATGCTAATGCCGAAGACAGTCAACTGTCTTCGGCATAACCATCAGACAATCAACTATCTTCCAAGTTGAATGGTTATGGCGAAGACATTCAACGGCATTATCACTGGTGGGCAGTTGTAATAGACCTTTCTTATAATGACGTCAAACGCGGAAAAAACCTTTAATGCGATATCCCGAGGGACAATGCAAATGATGTTTTTATGAAATTTATAAAAACATCATTGTGTTATTTGCTTGTAGTTAATTTGCATGCAGTTTATATATATTTTCTTTTTAACCCTATCCAGACTGCCGGCGGGAGGAAAGGCCCACGCTGGTTTTAAAAGTTAATATCTCCTAAATCGGCAGTGCAGGTGAGGTTCTAAGATTTTACGACTTTTGCTAAATATGTATAGGCTTTATGTGTGAAGAATTTGGTGAAGTAATATTACGCTAAAAAACGTTACATCGTAGACGTGAACACCTACCAACAGTAAATTTCAGCATCTTTAATTAAATTATAATAGGCAAATAAAAGTAAGCACTTTTTAATTAAGAGATTTTTTATATACTACTGTACCTTATTTATATTAACAAAACAGCTAAGACTTATAATAAGGAAAATAACCATCCACCTGTAAAAGTTTCAGCGGAATACACCAAAATAATGGTTCAGTAGATCCCTACCACCACCACCCCCTGAAGACCCCAAAAGTAACGTCTGGATAGCATTAAATGCACTATAATAAAATAGTTAATATTTTGTTTTCCTCAAACAAAACCAGCGAACAAACTTCGGCGTCTGTAGTTGTCTACTGCCCTTATACTCTTGTTCGGTTTTCCAAAAATTCTATTTTCCTTCGTTCGTCGCGTATTTGGATAAGCAAAAGCAAGAAACCTACTTTCAAACTATATAAAGAAGAAGCGGCATGGAAAAAATACGAGTCAAATCAAACAGTGAACATCTAAAGACTAAAGTGGACTGATAAAACAATGACTGACTGATCAGCCCATTTTCTGGCGACCAATCAGAAACGTTTTAGTATTTGCTTCCGTTAGGTGAAATTGAAATTCAAAAGAAATTATATCTTATGAAAGAATTATTCCAAGATTTGGTGTGTTCAAACAAGTTATTGATCACTTGCATGGGAAATTGGGAGAGCAATCATGCAAGCGCTAATGTTGGCCTTTTTCGTGCTCTCCCATCTTTGAATAATAAGAGCTGTAATACAAGTCGTGAATATCCTTGCACTATATTCATTTCCACTTTGGTGAATAATTGTCAATCATCATCAGTGCGCGGATCCATTTTTCGCGCCGCACAGAATTGTTTTTTTATTTTTTATTTAATAAAATTATTTGTTTTCAGCATGGAACAAACCACCTTACATGGAACAAACGACCTTATCTTGACATTGAACAATGTAAATATTAATCGCTATTCGTGCAAAGATTATGGCGGAAATTCCCTACATTTTATATATGAAACCTGCATGTAATCTAGCATTCGGAAATATTAATTATTCCATGTGATTGTGATGCGTATTCTTTAGTTTAGCGCATCTACTAAATGTGATATATTCAGTTAAATTAAAAAAATCTGCTCGCCTGTACCGATATTTTCCCGATACTGATGATGAAGACTCTTCAATCTCGTATTCCGAGCCTGCGATCCTCGGGAAGGAACGTGAGGCTCTGGGATAATCCGTTTCAGGGAGGAATCTGATTGGCCGTTGATATGGAATGCGCAGTTCAATGGATTATCCCAAAGCCTCACGTTCCTTCCCGAGGATCGCAGGCTCGGGGAACGAGATTGGATACTCTTCATTTTGAATTAATAACAACCTGTTTCCAGCTTTAGACACTTTGCGCACTGAAAGACAATTCCAGAGCATAGGCAACAGTCGAGAAAAACAAACGTTACAAACGAATAATTATTGTCTGATGAGTTTTAAAAAGTTACTTACCAGCCAAATTATATAACTGGCAGAAAATGATCCAAGTCTTCCCGCAGCAGATGATGTACCAAAAGCAGTTGATCTATATAGAATAAAATAATTAAAAATACAATCTCAAAATTCATGAGAAATGTTTAAAATTCCGTTTCCAGCTGGAAACATGTTAACGTCCAGAATCGTTTTGGCATGTTTCAGATTTCGTTTCCTATACCGTATATGTAAGCGTATATAATTCGAAATATATACACGCGTGAGGATAAGTAAAATAAGTAAGTCTGTGGAAACACAGCAACATTTCTATATACCTAACTACAGTTGGAAACAGCTCAGCGCACCACAAATAGACACCATCAAAGGAGAAAGTGATAAAAAATTTTGCAATGATAGCTGCTGTAACACGTCCTCCAACACTGGCTGAAAAAGAAATCATATAACTAAATAATCAGTAAGATTACTGGGGGCGAGCTTGTATAGTTGGAAAAATTGACTAGCATAGACATTAGGTCTCAAGCAACAACGCATTATACACGATCGGATCAGTCAGGCATGTTTCAAACTCGCATTTTGCATCTGCCAAATTCAATTCTGGTTCAAGTGGACCACATTCAGTTTGTCCTCGAATGTTAATCATGCTTTTAATTCAAAGGATGCAAAATCCGACGTATATGCACTGTAACAGCCCTACTCATTCATGAGCTCCTCAACCACTGCCAAAGTTCCAAGATGCTTTCATATATAACCATAAAGAATCGGCACAGCAGAAATCTACTAAAAAAGCTCGGAAGCCGATCTAAATATGTATGCTTACCCGAACTTTCGTTTGTCGGAATTGCCACCGAGATAGCGGATGCAATGAACGCAATAGCCATTGCAACAATGACAGACTTCTTACGACCAAATCTAAAATATAAATAATTATGATCAATAATGCTTGCAAAAACCGCCCCAAATAGCCTGCCTCTCCTGGGAAAATGTTTCCCTCGTTTCTCCCAAGGTGCATATCCCATCTCAAGAGTTCTATATCGACAGAACAGAATCAAAGTCGGATCCGTCCCAGGATTTGTCCCAGAGTTGGCCAGGTTCCTTCTAAGTTATCTTTGCCATGTTCGTAAATCAAATGAACAACAATTAGGCAACGATTTTGTTGTTATATAAGGCCAGATGTCTTCAAAACTCAAAACTACAACATGGAATATTCGCTTCACATTTACTATTTATAATTGATCTAATTTTTTCAAACATAAATTACGTAAATATCTCTTAGAAAATCATACACAGCCAGTAGAAATTATAAGGAAATGCATGGTGCCGAATAAGATTTTTTTACCTCAAAAAACCACAACAGTCTGTTTCATGATTCCTATACGGATGAAACAGACAGTTGTGTTTTTTTGAGGTAAAACGTATATATATATATATATATATATATATATATATATATATATATATATATATATATATATATATATATATATATATATATATATATATATATACCAAATATGTATTTAGAATCATATATGCATGAGTAGAGTGCTCGATATACCGAAGTATAGAACTAATATAGATAAAGATAAAAAAGACCTGGTTTACTTCATAAGATTTAGCTAATTCAAAAAAGGTTGTCCTTTGCAAACCTTAAACTCTAAACCTTAAACCTTAAACTCTAAGCGCGCAAAGCATAATGGGAGCATCATTTAATCAGTTTAGAAATCATAACGGGGTCTATTTCTTTACATGGTAAATATCTCATTATACGAGAACAATTCATTCACAAAAAGCTGCAATATTCAACTACTAAGCTTGAAACTCGTGCTCCCATTAAGCTTTGCGCGCTTAGAGTTTAAGGTTTAGAGCTTAAGAGCGACTGTCTACAAAAATCAAACAAAATGAGAAATATGTGCCAAGGCTCAAAATTTTAAATTCGCTCTACTTTTGAATTTAAGTTGACTATGGCGAAGTGTGAAACGTTATGTGGTTAGTTTTTAAAAATACTCGTTTGTTTATGAAAAAAAGGCAAAAATTGTTTCAGCTGTGAGGACCGATTTTCTCAATCGAAAAATGGCCGAAATTGCGTATGTTTACTTAATCCTTGTATTCAAACCCTAAATCCAAATAGCCTTATTATACTTTCTGCTAAAGGTACATCACTCCCTCGTATATTAATAGTGGTTTTATGATAATTGAACAACTGAACACATTTGTGCACAATAAAGAGCGACGGGTACTGATCTTTATTGTTTGTCATTGCATGTAAAAAGTGGCAGATTTCTCCGTTTGCCTTCCTTTCAAATCTTATGGGATTTTGCACAAGCACTACTGGGAAACTGCCCTTTTCAGAAATGTATTATTTATTTTGGGCAAATAAATTCACGCGCTACGAGAAAGAGTTAACTTTGGTTCATTAAATATGCAAAAATCACTGTTTGGCAATTGCGTGACTAAAACCCCCTTGAAATAAACTCGCTTAAAACATCATTGTTCTTCGCCTTTAGTTTAAAAAATTTGAAGAAAACATAAATATACATACCTTGAATGCGAAAAGTTCCTTTGAGCTGTTCCACTTTTGGAGTTATCCCTAACTTATACAGTACATAAACTCAAAGTTCAAGGAATCCAGCTAACAGAAATCAGCTAACAATTTACACAACTTCCATTCGTATTCCATTTACAATTGTTATAGTTAAGCCATTAAAATAGAAAAATAAGCCATGCAGAAAAGAGTCAAGATTAATATTGCTGCAGACATTCTATTTTATTCATATACTGTACTGAGATATCGAATTAGGGCATGATGCGGGCTTCCTGTCGATTTGGCGGAAGCAATGCTACTGCAGATACTGATATATCTGCGGTCACATGAACAATCCGTGCCAATCCGTGCCCACTATTGAACCAAAATAGCAGCGTCTAGAGAGTGCCATTTCCTTCGAAACCACTCTGATCAGTCGTCAGTTCAAATACTAATATGCTGACTTTTCATGGAAGTTTAACTGTTATGGTGTGCTTGTGACGGATATTATAATTAATAATGATAACGATAGCATAGCGGCGTACGGATCGCATTTTTTTCGACAATAATCCACTTAATATAAAAAACAATATTAAAAATACAAGTAATGCATCGCAGTGGCATTACTTCCGCCAAATCGACAGGAACCCCACCACCTATAATGTAAACATTTGGTGACAAATAGCTTTTTCAATATGTCAGTATAAAAATAAAATAGAATTTCTGCAATATTAACTTTGACTGTTTGTTTCTAAGAATATTAATAATTGTAAATAAAAGTAAATTACAGCAAAAAATAAAACCTCAATTCGCAATAATCCACTTAATAGAGAAAAAAAACAATAATAAAAAAGAAATGACAACATTACAGTAATACATCGCAGTGGCATTACTTCCGCCAAATCGACAGGAAGCCCGCCACATATAAAGTAAACATTTAGCTTTTTCGACATGTCAGTATAAAAATAAAATAGAATTTCTGCAATATTAATTTTGACTCTTTGTTTCTAAGAATATTAATAATTGTAAATGGAACACGAATGGAAGTTGTGTGAATTGTTAGCTGATTTCTGATAGATTGGATTCCAAGAACTTTGAGTCGATGTATAAGGCGGAGATGTAAACAAGCGAACGGTCGACAATATTAAATTCCTGGTATAAACTCCAAAAGTGGAACAGCTCAAAGAGAATTTTTGCATTCAAGGTATGTATATTTATGTTTTCTTCAAATTCTCGAAGAACAATGATGTTTTAAGCGAGTTTATTTCAAGGAGTTTTTAGTCACGCAATTGCCAAACAATGATTTTTGCATATTTAATGAACCAAAGTCAACTCTTTCTCGTAGCGCGTGAATTTATTTGCCCAAAATAAATGATACATTTCTGAAAAGAACGATTTTCCAATAGCGCTTGTGCAAAATCTCATAAAATTTGAAAGGATGGCAAATGGAGAAATCTGTCACTTTTTACATGCAATGACAAACAATAAAGATCAGTACCCGTCGCTCTTTATTGTGCACAAATGTGTTCAGTTGTTCAATTATCATAAAACCACTATTAACTAGAGGGCACTCAGAGACTGCATACCTCCGCCCCCATTGAATTTCGGTCGTGTGAAATGCAACTAAGACAATAGATAATGAAGGCTGGAGCTTAATGAGGCTTAGTACTGCGTGCATACATTATACACGTCCTAATTACGCATTCAGTGAGTTTTTTTAATTGACCGGGAAAAGCAAGAAAATGTTTTGTTCATTTCTCGTTCAATTTTTAACCAAATTCAACCAAATTTTAATCAGTTCTTCCGTAGCCGATGGGAAATGCATTCAAAAAATTTCGTATGAATATGTTTGGTATTTCTTGAGTTATCGTGCTCACAGACAAACACATACACATACACACACACACACACACACACACACACATACACACACACACACACACACACATACACACACACACACATACAAAACCAGATGATTACATAACCTCCTGGCGGAGGTAATAAACGAGGGAGTGATTTACCTTTAGCAGAAAGTATAATAAGGCTATTTGGATTTAGAATTTGGATACCAGGATTAAGCAAACATACGTAATTTCGGCCATTTTTCGATTGCGAAAATCGGTCCTCACAGTTGAAACATTTTTTCCCCTTTTTTTCATAAACAAAAGAGTATTTTTAAAAACTAACCATACCACGTTTCATACTTTGTCATAGGTAACATAAATTCAAAAGTAGAGCGAATTTAAAATTTTGAGCCTTGCCGCGGTATGTTTGATTTTTGTAGAGACTCGCTCTTAAGGTTTGCAAATTAAGGACAACCTTTTTTGAATTAGC